GGACGACGCGAAGGCCGTCGGCAGGCGGATAGGGACGGCGCGAATCGATCGGATGCCGCATGGGTGTGTGAGGCCGTGGATGGCCTCGGGTGGCAGGTACTCCAACATCTTTTAAAGTTCTTTAATGGGGTAATGAGCATCGATGAGTGCTTGACACATTACGAGAAAAAAAAATACAAAGGGGATGCTAAATCTTTGCTAAGTGGGACTTAACCAAGCCTCAGTCGATGCTATATATGCGGGGTCTTACGTGGTGATCGATGCAAATTTTTCTTTTCAGTTTTTTCCTTTTCTTTCTTACTCCCTCTGTTTCTAAATATAAGTCTTTTTAAGATTTCAATACAAACTACATACGGATGTATATAGACATATTTGAGAGTGTAAATTCATTCATTCTGCTCCGTATATAGTTTCTTATTGAAAACTCTAAAAAGACTTGTATTTAAGAACGAATGGAGTACATGTTATGTCACTTGACTAAGACCTGGTTAAGTCTCAGTCAACTGAGACCTAGGCACACCCAAATACAAACGATCATAAAAATGAACTCATAAGAATTCAAATCCTCCAAGCATGCCATAAAACAGTCAAAAAGACATGGATTCGTGCACGCAAACTACTAGCTCACAACAAAAAGAGCGTGAGCCTAAAAACGTGGCGAAGGCTAGACAAACAAACTAGTCACACAGTTGTTGAGGACATGGATCATTTTCACATGTTAAGAAATAAACTACCTTCTAGAGACAAATCGGTGGCAGGTTGACTACAACTCATAAAAATTTCGGGTCGAAACTCTAAATGTACGTTGAGAAAAAATATATATGAAATCTAGCATGAGTAGTGTTGAAAAACGGACAAAAAATGTTTGACACTATTTACATTTAAATTTGTTTTTTTCTGTTTCTCAATGTACATTTCGAGTTTGGATCTGAAATTTTTAAGGGTTATAGTCACATCCCTTATGAGCATTTGTAGTTTGAAACTTTTAAATTATATTTTAAAATTGAAGAATGAAGAACACTGAGGATGGGAGCACGTGATATTTCCTTACAGTATGAATGATTGGACATAGGTTCGCTTCCAAGCGAAGGAGGGGTGGCGAAAGCGGAACAAACCATCAGTCCCAACATTCTTTGGAGAGGTGTCAGGAAGCACGAGGCATCCCATCAATTCAAGACTGATCCTAAAAAAAAATCAATTCAAGACTGGAGTCTTAATTAGTCCAGGAGGAGCCCTAGTTAAAATCACAAATACGACCGGACACTTAAATAAACAAAGACGACGAAATTCTAGGGTGAGCAGAGGCAGAAGCAGAGACAGAGACGTCAGAGTCGAGAGATCCCACACCCCGCCGTCGTCCCTCACGCGCATCGTCCTGCTGCCCTCCTCCCTTGCTCGTGCCCGTCTCCTCCTCCCACCTGCGCCGCGGCTGCGCGAGCAGCAGTAGAAATACAGAGGGAAGGAGCAGTGCGTGCCCGTCCGTCCGCCTGGGCCTCTCGCTCCCCCCCTCCTCAACCGCCTGCTCCCTAACCCAATCCAACCCCTTCACATTATCCGCGTGCGCCGACTGCCCGGCCGGGGGCGCGCCGCCGTGCGGTGCTGCTGCTGCTGCTGTTACCGGTGCCGTCGCGGAGTCGGCGATGGCGATCCGCGGCCCGGACGCCGCGTCCGTCCTCCCCATGACGCTGCTCTTCTCCCTCGGCTTCTTCTGCGCCCGCTTCTTCCTCGACCGCCTACTGTACAAGGTACGGAACCGGCTCCTCCGCCGCCTCCTCTTCCCGCCCCAGATTCGCGCTGGGTTCCGCGAGATCTCTCGCCCCACGTGTGCTCTTCGTACCGCTGCTCAATGCTCGCTGGTGTTGCTGCCGAATTCGTAACCGATCAATGTGATCCGGCTAATTTGACTAACCGTCCGTGCGCATGTGATGCAACGCCCCGCGGACTGTGCTCCGAATGGAAACTGCTCATTAATTGCCGCCTTACTGATGGATGCTGTCTAGAACTCCTGTGCCTGTACTACTGCAGTTATTGAGCTGAGCTTGCTTGTCTGCTCTCATGCCTTCTGGTGATCCATGTACTCTGTACTGTAGTGAGCATTATCATGTCATGTACCAACAATTCCTACATGATACACCACTGCACTTAATTATTATCTTCGATTTTGAAGCCACTGTAAAATCCATATACAGTCTGAAGTTAGTTACATGATACTTCAGACTACTGAATAATATAATTGTTTTATTTGTTCTATAAATCTGTCTCACCAGGCCCCTAGGTTATCTCTGCTTTATTTCTATATATGTTTATTTGCTTCTGTTCAAATTTTACCATGAACTATTTTTTACATCCCCGAGTATTCGTCACTTTAACCTTCACCTCTGATGTTTGGCCGTCTGTATATGTCATTTCAGCCATTGGCAGTTTACTTTTTCACTAGCAAGGCTTCTAAGTTGATGAATGATGAGGCCAGGCAAGCAAAGATTGCCAAGTTCTCAGAGTCTACTTGGAAGCTGACATACTATGCTTCTGTTCAGGCATGGGTCCTATTGATAATAAAGCAGGAACCATGGTCGTTGGATACAATGCAATACTTCGATGGCTGGCCGAATCAACCCATCCCGTGAGTGCAAAGTATACTTCTATAATTTTCTTAAATATATATATGGGTATACTGGTGTTGCATGTGCTTTTTGCCCTGATACATGGTCTCTTCAATCTCCTTAAAGTTGAAGAGAAATAACTTATGTTATTGCAATACATTATAACCTCTAAATGTACTAAAAAAGTATGAATTTCAGAATATTCCAGATCATGAAATATTTAATTATCTCGTAATTTTATTATATATAGGAAAACGTAAACTCCCTTACCTTGCTATTAAGCTAACATGATAAGGTTGCCTATGTTCAAAGCATTTCTATGTATCCTCTCTTTCATGAGTACTCCCTCTGTAAAGAAATATTAGAGCGTTTAGATCACTAAAGTAGTGATCTAAACGCTCTTATATTTGTTTACGGAGGGAGTATTAAGCAAACTGTTTGGCACGCCCTTGAGGGTGTTGCTACTGTACCATTATCTTCTACTCCCTCCGTTCGGAATTACTTGTCTCAAAAATGGATGTATTTAGAACTAAAATACGTCTAGATGCATCCATTTCCGAGACAAGTAATTCCGAACGGAGGGAGTACTAAGAAATATTTATGCACATTTCTTACTTTTCATATGTTGACATTATTTATTTATTATTGATATCTTTATTTATAGTCAAGGAAGTTAGGTAGATTCCCACACCATTTGTTGCATATGGTCTGTTACTGTCTCATGGAGAGTATTCCAGATTTGAGCCCTATAAACAGGAAAGGAGGGAGTATTATCTAGCAACCACATGCTTTACTGTACCCATTTTCACTATAATTTTTTTACATGTGATCTTATAATAGCTTTCTTACCTTGATAAAGGAATCCTGCTTCATTTAACCGTTACCAGATATAACCATGATAAATTATTGTTCTCTCATCCTTTTACTTAGTCTTAGCTTTTCTAGGAAATCTGAGGGGTAAGGTCTACCTGGCGTGACCTTCCATTTAGAGGGGAAGATGCATACTCATGATGCTGTTCTTCGTTCATTGTTTGATGACATGATGCTCGGAACACCAAGTGCTGTGCTCATCATCACACACAACAAATGGCTCAGATTTTATAGATTTTAGATATATTAACAGGAACTCTGAAACACTCCCGGGCATATTTGTTTGGAACCATTTAACCTATTCTTTGGAGTGGAGTGATTTTTTGTTCTTTGCTCTAATGTATATGTTAATTTCTGTCTCTCAGGTCCTCATTGAGACTTTTCTACATGTGCCAGTGTGGATTTTATATCTACAGCATTTTTGCTCTCATTGCTTGGGAAACCCGCAGAAAAGATTTTGCTGTAATGATGTCTCACCATGTAGTAACATCTGCTCTTATTGGATATTCATTTCTGACTGGGTAAATATTTCTTGAGCCTCTTTAATATTGTATTTTCTGGATTGCAATTGTATGGGGACGGGCTTCTGTTATACTCTGATGTGTCCTATTTATGGTCAGTTGGTCATTATGCAACGAAAAATCATCAATTACCAATCACTTGTGCTGGGATTCAATGACTCTGCAGTGTGCACTGAAGCTTGGCAATTCTCTAGGTCTTTCTAGTTACCTACTGGTTTGATTCGATAAACAAATATATGTATGAAAATATATAAATTGGGATGCAGAATTTATAATGCCAATAATAGATGAATCTAACTCTTGCTGTTTATTGATCTGAATGTTCTAGTAAGCAGTGCTTAATTTGGCCATGCCATGTAACAGTAAATAAATATTTCTGAAAATCATTGTGCTAAATTAGAACAAAGGGTACTGCACTCCCTTCTTGTAATTTCGCTTTTCTTTTCATGCAGCTCAGCTATGTATAATCTCACAATACATAATTATGTCTGAAAATCGCTGTGTTACCGAGGCATTCATTTATTTTTACTTCTTTCTGTTGATTATGATCATTCATAGAGATATAGTTGACTTTTATAGCTAAAGATCAAAATTGCAACACAGCTCTAAGACAACTAAATTTACATTTCTGCAGATTTTTTCGTATTGGAACAATTATTCTTGCGTTGCATGACACGAGTGATGTGTTCCTTGAAACTGCCAAATTGTGCAAGTACACTGAAAAAGAACTAGGGGCTAGCTTATTTTTTGGGCTTTTTGCTCTCTCGTGGCTCCTATTGCGTCTGATTTACTTCCCATTTTGGATAATCAAAACCTCAAGGTTTGTTTGCTCCTTTGTACATAATTTCTTGTATTCCGTTTACATCCCAAGGTTGGAACTCACTGTTCTTGTTCTTGCAATGCCAGCTACCAGTCCATCATATCCTTGAGGAAGCTGGATAGGTTCCCAACGACCTTGTACTATATTTTCAACACAATGCTTCTCACATTACTTGTGTTTCATGTGTATTGGGGGAAACTCATATTTTCAATGATAATGAAACAATTGAATAATAAAGGAAAAGTTGGAGAGGATGTTCGATCTGGTAAGGTTTCATTTCTTTGCCGCAATCACTTGTTTGATTTGAATTCACCCTTTTTCATCCTGACTGACGTGTTTTTTTCACGAACTCACAGATGGTATTAGGATATCTACATAAATATTTTTTTCTTGTGAAATTTGGGTTCCCCCCATTCTCTTCCAGATAATACAACGTCTAACTTTGTCGCCAAATTCCTGCATGAAACAGGAGAGCCCTGCATAATCAGTAGGGAAGACCCATATGGCATACATAATGAAATAATGAACCACCCATTTCAATTTTGAATAGTTGCATGAATAGTACAGTCATAATATCACATATTGATCAGATTGCCTAATGGTAACTAGCTCCGATACATTGTTTGGTAGACCCCCTTCCATCATAATCAGTTATAAAGATTTGAATTGCACCAGAAACTACATTAACCCAGGTTTTTGTTTGGTAGACCCCCTTCCATCATAATCAGTTATAAAGATTTGAATTGCACCAGAAACTATATTAACCCAGGTTTTTGTTAGTTGTGATCATTTAAATGATGAATTTCTTCACAATGCAGATTCGGACGATGATGACTGATGGGGGTGGTTCTTTGACAATTGTGATGGGCCATTTCTTTGCTGGTACCTTGCCCTGTACTTACAACAGTAGATTGTGTTGGTCCGCAAGCTTGTGCTAAGAAAGTTTCATTTCTGTATATTACCTTATGATATCAAAGATTGCTAGACCAAGAAACTGAGCAGGTTCTATACATAACGGGTATAGCTAGCAACTTACTTGAAGGTCCCTTCATAATTTTTGGTTCATCTTTCCTTGTTAGTAGAAAAGGCTTAAGAGGTCGTTTTCTGTGGCTTTTCCGCAGAGCTTAGAAGCTCCTCTCTACCATGTCTTGTATACTGTGACTATGAGTAGGTTTAGCTCTAATTCATGGGAATAAGTTGATTTTTTTATCAGGAGTAAATCTCACATGTATCTTCTCATCTCATGTGTCAAGTGTCTCATGCTGCTAGTTATAACTTTTTGGCGGCATTGGTTTATCTTGTCTTCGTTGTTTTTTTGTCTATGTGTGACTACGAGTGCATCTGCATTGGTTTGTAATGTACATCATTGCATGGGCCTGTTGTTAAGAGCTCTGAGATACATTTGAAATACTACGGAGTTAAGGATCCGGATAGACATGTCAAGCTCTGTTCTGGTGAGTGGAATTTCAGATGCTCTAACTTAATTTGTAAGAAGGCTATAGTTATCTACTCCCTCCGTTTCTAAATATAAGCCCTTCTAGAGATTTCAATACGAACTACATACGGATGCATAGAGACATATTTTTAGATTATAGATTCACTCATTTTCCTCTTTATGTAGTCCATACTGGAATCTCTAAAAAACATTATATTTAGAAATGGAGGGAGTAGTGGTCTAAACTGTGTTGAAGGAGCTTGGAGTACAGCAACCAAGAGCAGCTTGTCTCTTGTGTGACAACTAGGGCATTTTGGAGACCGAGCTTCATGGAGGCCTTAATCTTGGAAATTTCAATATTCAAACTTTGTAGTTTCAAAGCATTCTGAAAAAATACACATGTACGCAAGGATGTAATGTGTATGTGGGTAAAATTTTGGGATGAAATATCTTGAATTGCGAGCTGCAAAATAAAAATAAAAATCATGGACTTTAGAGTGAATTGTACTCCCTCTGTAAACTAATATAAGAGCGTTTAGATCACTAAAATAGTAATCTAAACACTCTTATATTAGTTTACGGAGGAAGTACATGCTAAGAAGCCACATATTTTTTTATAGCTCTCATTTTAACCTATTTTGACCTGAAAATTTACACATCTTCATTATGTCTCTATGTAAATTTTTTGAGACTAAAAAGTTTGAATTTTAAAGTTCCCGAATTAAGGCCTCCATAGAACTCGGTCTCCATTTGGCATTTTAGGACAATTTGGTGCTACATATATATGTTACCAAACCCGATATTTCATGGTCGGTTGTGTCTTAAATATCTTGCTATTTTTGCCAAAGTTTAATAGTACTCTCTCCGTTCGGAATTAATTGTCTCAGAAATGATTGTATCTAGAACTAAAATACGTCTAGATACATCCATTTCTGTGACAAGTAATTCCGAACGGAGGGAGTAGAGGGTTAGCGGCATCTTCATTTTTTCCTCTTGCTCTTTTCTAGAGCAGCTTTAGTAGAGTCATCATAGTGGGTCGTTGCTCCATACGGATTTGGAGGCTATCGCACTTGTGTGCAAATGTTGCCTCCATAAATACCTTTTTCTTGGTCATCTTCTTTAATTTTGTAGGGGCAATTTAAGCTCAATTTAATCTAACCAAACACATATATCAACACAATAACTTAATAACAACTATATTTAATGGCCAAAATGTGTCACATTACATATAATTAGCCACTGCAACGTCATATGCAATGTCACTATTCGACATTGCTTGGACTACACCGAGAGCTGAGCTCCTCTCCCTCCCCACCTTTCGTGCCGCGGGCCGCTCCAGCCGCGGCGGCCACCAAACGCCCCTGCCCCTGCGTCAGGCAGCCGGAGGACCCGCCCCTGGCCATGCCGCACTGCTCCCAAGCGGGGGCCCCGGCCTCGCCGACCACCAGCCTGGCCTGGAGCACCCCGGAGAAGAGGGAGATCTGGGCTGCGTCCAGCGGACCGTCCCAGGTGCCGGAGACGCCTGCTGCCCCGTCGCCGCGGATCCGCGCATCGGCTGGGCCCTCTCCGTGCGGATCCGGCTCTGCTACGGCGACCGCCTCGACGGATAATCCCGTGCTGCTCCATCTTGGGGGTAACCGCCTAAAATCCATTGTGGTGGTGCCTTCCCTCCAAGCTGGGCCGGCAGATGAAGGCATTGACGGCGCCATTGAAGAAGGATGGATGCTCCATCAATCCCGCAAGAACCGGCGCGCGCGCTCGGATCCAGCGGCCCCTGGCCTGATCTGGAAGCAACTGTCCTCCACTCGTCGCCATTGCCCCGCCTCCGGCCATGAGGCCTTTTTAAGCAGGTTCAAAGGTCTATGTTTTCGTTGCCTGAGCACTCGCCATCGTTGAGTAGATTGTAGAGATCCCCTGTGCTGCATCATCTGCAAGCGGCAGGGGCACTACGACTGGGAATGCCCGCAAAATCCACGCAGAAAGAGAGGAGGGGGCTCTGCCAGAGAGCGGCTCGGTGATCCTGCGCGCCCGGCCTCCCCTGCTCACGGCTCCCCTGCACCCCATCCGCCGGCGCCTCCCCCTCGACCCCTTGCTGCCATGGAGCTGGCACTGGTCGTCGACCACTCCTGCCGCCCGCGCAACAGCCACAAGGTCATCGCCTCCACCCCCGCGATGGAGCACCAAGTGTTCCTGCTGAACCAGCATGCCGTCGTCATCACCGCGGTGGGCACCAAGGCGCACGCCGCTAGCCCCCTGTCCATCGGGCGGGCACTGGAGAAGGAGCTGAAGATCCCGCCTCACCTGCTGCGCGTGACCGCCCACGACCCTGAAGACTTCTTCGTCTTCTTCAACTTGCTGGCGCACAAGGATCTGGCGGTGCGGCACGGCTCGCTCACCGTCGATGGAGTGCCGTTCCTGCTGGAGGCATGGCGGGAGGACACCCATGTCGTGCACCAGAAGTGGATGCTGCACGTCCGGGTGGTCATTGAGAAGCTGCCCATGCAACTCTGGACGCTTGAAGGCGCAGTTGAGGCCCTCGGAGACAAGGTGATCGTCGACCGTCTAGACAGCCGGACCTACAAGCGCGCCGACACCAAGATGTTCGCGTGCTGGGTCTGGGTCTGGAATCTCTCCTTCATCCCGACCAAGCGGACGATCTGGAAGCATGCGAGGGGGGCGGTCCGCGTGGAGGAGATGCACGGCTACTCGCCACCGAGCCGCGCGGTTGCCCTCCGCCGAAGCTGCTGCAGTACAACCTGCTGCTGCATGTTGATCGGGTGGAGGACTGGACGCCTCTCTCGCCGCACTCCTCCCACTCGCCGCAGAGTGGCCTCCACTCCGACGACGATGACGACGACGATCAACCATACCCCCGCATCGACTCCGGGGTCTGGATCATGCACGTCGAGGATGGGCGGCCCGCGCAGGCCACGGCGCCCATGCTGCGCCCGCCTCCGCGCGTCTCCTCCTCTGGCTGCAAGGGGATGCCGCTGGGGGGTGCATGCAGGGAGCACGACAGAGACGATCAAGGCCACCACCGCCGCTCGTGGAAGGAGACGCTGCTAGGGAGAGGGCGTGCGGGTGACCACGGCAAGGCGCCCAAGGCCAACAGTAGGCAACGCAGCCGCACCCCGACGTCGAGGCACCGCCACTACGCACCTGAAGGGCGTCCGCTCGACATCGGTGTGCACCCGCAGGCACCCCGGGAGCGTGCCGCCGGTGGCGCCAGAAGCAAGAGCAAGGAAGGCGGCCGCTCGTCGACCCTCAAGGAAGCTGAGCCGGCCAAGGAAAAGCTGCTGCGGCCGGGGAGGGAAGGGGGGAGCCCATGTCCAGGTCCCTGCTCGCGCCACCACGCAAGCTGCATCGAGACATCGCATCCTCCTCATCTGCACCGGTGGACGACCCGGTCACCGAGTTCTTCGAGGGGGCCAAACGACAGCTGACTCCACCTAAGCGCCCCGATGCTCTGGCTCCGGCGCTGGACAAGGTGATCGCGGCCAAGCTCAACAAGCCCCTCAGTTTCATCGACGAAGACGGGGGCAGCGGGGAATCGCTGGACCTAGGGCCAACGCTGTCCCTGGTGCGCCACACCCCCACCACCACGACCTCGCACACGCTCCAGCTGGGGGCCGTAACCAGGCAGGTGACTGAGCTGTAGCTGGGCGGGGGTGGCGGAAGCGAGGAGCCGCGGCCACCGACACTCCCGTTCTTCACTATTGCGCCCACTCCGGTGATCGGCAAGCCACCAGCAAGAGACAAGCCCCCCCCCCAAGACAAGAGCGACCAGCGTCCCAGTCCGAGCTAGTGTGCGCCAGGCAAGCAACCCATCATCAGTGCCCCATGCGTAGTGGGCAACCTTCCGTTTGGTGCATGGCCTTGGGATTTTGGGACCGAAGGAGAAGATGACAGTGGCAGCGGCCGAGGTGCTCACCCGTCGCTTCGACGAGCCCCTGACAGATGAAGACATTGCTGTGATCGCAAGGCTGACCCGCCTGGACGCCCAGGCTCTCAAGGCTGCAGCTGGCATGCTTGGTCTCCCCATGTTAGATTCTCACCGTAGTCGATGATGACCGGCCATGGGCTGGGTGAAGTTAGGAAGTAGTTTGTTAGTCGTACGGCTTGCGAGTTGTAACAGTAGTTGGGCATGGTTGCTAGCTGTTTGCCGGCGGGGTTTTGGGCCTATTGGTGGCCGCCAGCAACCCCGGATGGTAGGGAAGTGTACTCGTTGTTATTTTCAATAAAAGTAATCGTCGTCGTTCAATCCTGGTCTGCACCCAGGGCCAGTCCTCTGCGTATGACACATTTTCCTGATGAGTAGCACAGTCGGCCCGATCATGAGTTGGAACGTCAGGGGCCTGAACAACCCAGCTCGGCGATCCGTAGTGCAGGTCACGGCAAACACA